ACCCAGAAAAGCTAGAAAGCTGAAACTTTGGGGATATGTGCCTATACCATGCGTGACCCTCCCGTTCTAATTTCATCCCTCTTGAACGCCTGGGTGCCGCGTACGGACGTTTTAAAAAAATACGCATTTTTTGGCGGGAGGGCGATCTCGGGAACCACACGAGCTAAGGGGCTGAAACTTCGTAGAGATATCCCCTGTGCATGTGAGGGCGATCTCGGGAACCACACGAGCTAAGGGGCTGAAACTTTGTAGAGATATCCCCTGTGCATGCAGTGGCCTCGGGAACCACACGAGCTAAGGGGCTGAAACTTTGTAGAGATATTCCCTTGGCGGGAAAGCGATCTCGGGAACCACACGAGCTAAGGGGCTGAAACTTTGTAGGGATACTCCCTGTGCATATGCTAGCTAAAGATTTCAAATTCAGCCCACAGTTGTAAGTGGTATTCACGTAAGGGCGTATCAAAGTTTCAGGGGGAAAATTGCTAACTCGAGCGCCAGGAAAGCTAGAAAGCTGAAATTTTGGAGGAGCGTTCCCTATCAAAGTACAAGTCAAAATTCAGCCCCAAGCTATGCATGGTAGTCACGTAAGGGCATATGAAAGTTTCTGCAGGAAAATTACTAACTCGGCAACCAGGAGAGCTTGAAGGATGAAGTTTTAGGCCGATGTTCCCTGCGCATAGTGCATTTTAAAAATTTCAAATTCAGCTTTCCAAGCACGTGGAATACCAAGTACGGGTGTGTGAGGGTTTTGACGGAAAACTGTTAACTCGGTAACCAGAAAAGCTGGAAGGCTGAAATTTTGAAGGAATGTTCCCTGTCCAAATACAACACAAATGTTTCACATTCAGCCCCAAGCTATGTGTGGCACTCACGTAAGGGCGTAAGAAAGTTTCTACGGGAAAATTTTAACTCGGGAACCAGAAAAGCTAGAAATTTGAAGTTTTAGGGGGAAGTTTCCTGTCTAAGTACAACTTAAGTATTTCAAATTCAACCTTGAGGTATGCGTGTTTCTTACGCACGGGCACTTAAAAGTCTTGACGAAAAAAATTTCCCACTGAGCAACTAAGTTACTTTTAAAAAACGGCTTTTAAATGGAAATTGTACATTTGCTTTGCAAGATTTATGGTGATTTATTCTAGTGACCACAAAAGTTAGGTGTAAAGCAACAACCATTCACACAGTTAATGACCTAAATAATTCAAGTCCGGTGCAAAAACGCATGATCGCACGGGCCCGCCCGGTGCGTTCCAGCCTGGGTTCTGAACATCAACAGGACGGCCACTGATTTTCTGTCTTTGAGATTTGCTTAAGGCCGTAAATCAAGAGCTGTTTTATTGCTTGGCCTATTCTTGGCACAGCAGCAGTTCAAATCCATGTTTAGAGGAAGTCGACCGAGCGAAATAAAGATTGGGCAGTTGATATCATCAATAAAAAGTATTGCCACATATATACTATAACAATTGTGTATAGCACTTTCATACGGCAAGATAAGACGGTGAAAGAGGTTCGAGTTAAGCGGTGCAGTACACAAGATGCTGTCGCGCATTTTCTTAATTGCATTTCTGTGGTACCTTATTATCTTTGGTGGCTTCTTTCACACAGCAGGACACATCTCCTACTTTTACCAATAATAAATGACTCTGTGTAAGAAAATATCAGATCGGCAGTGTGTACGGGCAGAAAAAGTCCATGTAATCGCTACTCGTTCTTGAACAGAAGAATACCAAAGCACGAAAAAATTGCGCGCAACTGAGATTAGATTTTGAATCTGGCTGTGCGTTTTTGCATATATACAAATGCAAAGCGCATATTGTGACGAACCTGATGTGGGTATGTTTGTGTGTGTACGTGTGTGTGTGGGTGTGTGCGTGTGTGTGGGGTGTGTGCGTGTGTGTTGCGTGTGTTGTGCGCGTGTGTGTGCGTTTGTGTGTGTATTTGTGTGTATGTGTGTGTGTGTGTGCGTGTGCGGGTGTTTCAACTCGGCAACCAAGCAAGCTTCGGCGCCAAAATTTTGCCAGTGGATTCCCCGACCAAGTGCCGCCCCAGGACTGCGATAATAACGCTCACGTACTTCTATAAGCGCTTGAAAGTTTTGGCGGAAAAATCGCTGACTCGAGAGCCAGAAAAGCTAGAAAGCTGAAATTTTGCAGTTATGCCCTCCATCCACATAGAACTCAAAAATTTCAAATTCAGCCCCCGGGTACGCGTGGTTCTCAGGTACGGCCCCGTGAAGGTCCCTAGCAGGAAAATCGCCAACTCGGGAACCAGGAAAACTGGAACGCTGAAATTTGAAGGAGATTTTCTCAGATTACGTACAGCTGTAAAAGTTTTCAAATAAAGTTTTCAAATTTAGCCCTGAATTGTGTGTGGTTTTCAAATACGGCCCCTCGAAAATTTTTGGCGAAAAAATTGTTAACTAGGAGACCAGAAAAGAAAGAAAGCTGAAGTTTTGAGGGGGTGCTCCCTGACGAAATACCATGTGGTTGCACAATTAATTTCTGGACTTCGAGGACCAGTATGCCATAAATTCTAGTTACTGGGACTCCAAACGATCTCAGAACAGCATGAAATACTGCAGAGACGCACGATCACACGGGCCCGCCCGGAACGCGTTGCCAATGATTTTAAATGAGTTGTTGATCTGTGTTAGATGTTTTAGTAGCTGAGATAAGAAATGTTGAGTTTAACTGACGAAATAGATGGAAAACAAGTGGTGTAACAACATAAGCGAGTATCAGGCATTTTGACTGAGAGGAATCGAATTGGGTTGGTACTGTGTGTTTTCGGACCTAACTTACAGTCCACGAAGTCTTGAATTTTTGTGAAGAAACTCATGGATTTTCTATGATTCCAGCCAGATACATCCGCTACCGCTTAAATTTTAACCTTTCCAGAGATGTGCGCACAAACGAAGCTTCTCGACGCATAGTGCTTGTGAAACGGGCGGGCGAGTAAGCATGGATCCTTCATACCGGCGACTTTCCGAGCCGAATTTGTTTCCACCCTTTGCATCACCCAAATTACGTAAAATTCGAAAACAGTTTTCTACTGATTCAAGTGAGTCTGTTAGGTTTTGATAAATCACTAAGTATTTATATTTGATTTCTCGAAATACTCCTGTGGGGTACCACGAAGCTATAGCCACACGACAAGTGCTTTTGAGTCAAATTTTTTTCTTTCTGATAGCCTCGTGTCACTACATGAGGTCCGTCTCCTGAAAATATGCAAAAAATTTGAATTTGCATATAAACTGTAACGGTCGTGCATCGCCTAATCCATTTTGAAATTCAAATTTGCAGCGAAAAACAAGGAACAGAAAAGACGTTCAGTAAACAGTTCGCATGGTAACGAAGAAGCAAGAACTGCAGATTACAATGCCAGTGATGGACAACTGGTACACACAAGACGAGGCTCTGAAACGTTTTGTGGCTCTGTCGCTGCGTACTCTAACAACCTCAGTATCATTAATACGAGGCTCTGATATGCAACTGCTTCAGTGCTTTGAGTAATGTTTATTTAAGCATTCTGGGTTTCAAACAGGAAATGAGCTAATGAAGTAAACAGTTTATCATAATATGGCACAATTTACCAAAACTGCATGTTCTAGAAACCGTATTTTTGGGAGTGGATGTGCCGTCTTGAGTCAAATGATATAAAGATGTAGGTGTAGTGGATATTGATTAATACTATCCATGTATACGGAAAATGAATCGAAAAGGTTTAAAATAAAGAAGAAAAGCCTAAACAGGAATGTTTCAGTCCCTGAACTTATATACACTTCTGCTTGGACTTCTTTAGCATCACGGTTGTGGTAATGAGAATTATATTTAGCAAAAGGAAAACAAACAAAAAGAAGGACAAGAGGAAATTGCAAATGAGTAAACTACGTTGTTTTAAATATGTAAAAACCGGAATCAGTGGTAATGGCAATAATAATAAGTAGTAATAATAACGATAGTAATAGTGGTAACAATAGTAATAATAATAGTTACCAACAACAGTAATAACAATAGCAATAACAATAACCCAGGCTGGAACGCACCAGGTGAGCCGGTGCGAACATGCGTTTTTGCAGCAAACTTCGAAGTGCCGTCTCTCATGGTCTCGGGGAGGGGGAGGAGGGAATGGGGGAAAAAGAAGGGGATCCCACATTATGCCACCATTCAGCTGAAGGCGGGGTTTAATCATTTGTGCGAATCGATGAATAATCGGCCCATCGCTACCCCGCGCAGTGATCATGTCAACTTCAGCTTCCTAGCTTCCTAAGTTCTGGAGATGAGGTCAGCTGATTCATGCCCTATTTCCAACTACCACTGCATTTCCACTGCTGATTCGGAAGTATGTCGGTATTGCTGGTCAGGGAGGTCTTTGGGGTATACTTTGGGGTATCCACTACTTATGGCAAGCATGGTCTTTGCGAAGATTATGCTTGCCGTAATTACAGGATTTTATGTTTCGTTAAAACTTCAGGATACATGGGCGAAAACTTACCAGCTTAGCAGTGTGTTACGACTATATTCCTAGTTTTCGTATATTTCCAGTGTGGGAGGGATTTTTAATCGGGAAAGAAATGTGGATCCCCGCTGAGTTGTATGGACCACGGCTGCAATCAAGCGCCGAAATTCGGGTTTGTCGGTAATAGACACAGCAACCATTTGAGCTGCCGCCGTTCGGTGTTCAGTTGCACAACGACCCAGTCGCGGTCTCGTTTGTTTTCGAGGAGTTGCACGTGCCGTCAGTTCCACGTGTGCTCGCTTTTCTGTTTCGCTTGTTATGTTTTTGTGGAGGGGAAGTGCGCGCATTTCTTTTGTTTGCATTTTAGGAGTATGATTGAATTTGAGGTTACGAGGGGGTTATGCCATATAGCAGGCTCACGT